TGGAGCGTATAGGCAATACAAACATATCAGGAACACATGCACGAAGGCTATAAGAGAAGACAGGCTTCAGTACCAAACAAAGCTTATGGACAAATTCGCCTCTAACCCTAGAAGCCTATTCCGTTATGCAGCCTCTCTTCGTCAAGCCAAAACAGGAGTTTCTCAACTGCTAGGTCTTAACGGCCCGACCAACAACGATGGCGACGCCGCTAACCTTCTGGCGGCCCATTACTCTCAAACATTTCAACCGGCTGACATCAACTTTATTGACGACAGTTTCATCTGCAATTCCACAGGACTTTCTGAAGTGGACCTAAGCGCTGACTTGGTGTTCCGGAAATTGCAGCACTTAAGACTTGACACTTCTCCTGGCCCGGATATGGTTCATCCTGCCATACTGAGGGAGGCAGCCTCAATCCTGGCAACGCCGCTTAGCGTGATGTTTTCACACTCGCTTAGCCGAGGCAAATTACCGGAAAATTGGAAGTTGGCTCACATCACACCAATTTTCAAAGGTGGTCGACGCAATGAACCTTCAAGTTATCGGCCGGTGGCTCTTCTGTCATTACCTTCAAAACTCATGGAGTCCCTGATATGCGACGGTTTAAATGACTATCTACTGTCCTTAAATTTCTTCTCACCCCAACAGCATGGTTTCAGGAAGGGTTACTCTTGTATAACCAACCTGCTGACTGCGGTGGACAGATGGACAAGCATCCTCGATTGCAAGGGAAAGGTTGATGTCATTTACCTTGATTTCTCAAAAGCTTTTGATAAGGTTAACCACTTGTGTCTTATCAACAAGCTCAAACGACTAGGTATCAAACCACCTCTAATCGATTGGCTTACTTCATACCTAAAAAATCGACACTTTAAGGTTAGGGTTAATTTCACTTTATCTCAGGCTATGGAATGTCCTAGTGGGGTCCCCCAGGGCTCAGTACTAGGGCCTCTTCTCTTCTTGATCTACATAAATGATCTTCCTCAACAGGTAACGTCAGATTTATTACTTTTTGCCGACGACGTGAAACTTTGGAGAGAGATACGCAACCAAGACGATACACAGGCACTTCAGGAGGATCTGACTCGACTTCAAAGTTGGGCAGACGATAACGGACTTACCTTTAACACTTCAAAGTGTAAAGTAGTCCATCTGCGACATGTGCAAACTACAGTTACAACTTAGGAAACTCCTCTCTAGTAGTATCCCAAGTCGAAAAAGATTTAGGAGTCCTGGTGCCCCATGACTTAAAGTCTTACGCTAACTGTGACAAAAATGCCTTCCGAGCAAACCTTGCACTGGTAACGTTGAGGCGCATTTTTGGACAGTTTGACGGAAGAACTTTCCACACAATCTTCAATAGTTTCATCCGTCCCCATTTAGAGTACGGAAACATAGTACTCCCCCCTCACTCCAAAAGGACAAGGTCACTTTGGAGCGTATCCAACGGCGAGCCACGAAATCAGTTCGAGGACTCAAATCTAAGCCTTACGAAGAACGCCTCCGTTCACTAGACCTTTACCCACTAGAATATAGGCGTCTTAGAGGTGATTTATTAATGGCTTATAGTATTCTTAACACTTCTGGACATCCTCTTAAACACCTACTTAAGCTTAGTTCGAATAATAACCTAAGGGGTAACACCCAGAAACTGGAAACACAACATAGCAAGACGGAATGTAGACACAACTTCTACTCCTTAAGAGTTGTCAAAAGCTGGAATTCGCTGCCGGCCGAGCTAGTCCAAGCGACTTCTCAGGAGTCCTTCAAGAGGCAACTTGACCTATTCTTAAGGACCAAGGACAGCATCACATTATGATTTACCAATTTCTTTTCCTTTTTATTGTTAACATACCTAGGTTCCTGCCTGGAGGATTTGGTGATCCCCTGCTACTAGACACGGAAGCCTGTTAAGCGAAAGCTTCTTCTATTCCGTCCACAACCATTTGAACCTCGGCAAACCTCATATAGGTGGGCTACCTGTCCATTCACATAAGGTTCATACAGAAAAACAGGACGAAGCTCACGCGTTCCAAATTGAAAGCATAAACTGCTTATATACGAACGCCGCGAGTTTACCAAACAAACTGGATGAACTACGTGAACTTAGCGACGCTAACAAGGCCCATCTGATAGGAATATCTGAAACCTGGATATCTTCTCAGTTCTCGGACCAAGAGTTAGCATTGCCTGGGATGACTTTGTTCCGCAACGACAGAAAAATAGGAATTGGGGGCGGAGTAGCCATATACATAAGCTCTTGCTTGGAGGTGCACCAGGTTCACAACCTCGAGTTTAACAATCTTGAGGAATCCATATGGTGCTCTGTAAGATTGTCTAGTACTTCCAGGTGTCTAGTCGGAGTCATTTACAGGAAGCCAACTGCCGACACCGAGTACGATAGTCGTATGCTGGAAGGACTATCCCGCTCTATCCGTCTCGGTTTCACACACATCCTGATTCTAGGGGACTTTAATCTCCCTAGAGTCAACTTCGCGGAACACACGTACACTGGAGGCGACAACTCAATTGAAGCTCGGTTCTTCAACCTCATCGATAACTTGGGCTTATATGAAAATGTGAGGTCGGCAACTCGTTGGAGAAACAGTCAGACACCATCGCGCTTAGACTGTGTATTCACTAACGAAGAATTCCTAGTCGACAACCTCTCAATCCTGGCTCCTCTGGGAAAAAGCGATCATGCCGTCATAGCCTTCAGTTTTGTCATCAAAACTAAGCTAAGGTATCCCAACAATAATTTGCGTTGGAATTTTAAACGGCTGAATGTGCCAGCTCTACATGACTATCTACAACAGGTGGCTTGGGATGTTCACCCTCAAATCGATGTGGATGGTCATTGGGACTTCTTGCTGCACACGCTCTTACGTGCTACAAACCATTCAGTTCCTCAAACGGTTCCCAAAAGCTTCAAGCCACCTACAGTAATCAAGAACCGTACCCTTCGCCTCCTAAGCCGCAAACGGCACTGTTGGGCGGAATACAAACGAACTAATAACGATGGAGCGTATAGGCAATACAAACATATCAGGAACACATGCACGAAGGCTATAAGAGAAGACAGGCTTCAGTACCAAACAAAGCTTATGGACAAATTCGCCTCTAACCCTAGAAGCCTATTCCGTTATGCAGCCTCTCTTCGTCAAGCCAAAACAGGAGTTTCTCAACTGCTAGGTCTTAACGGCCCGACCAACAACGATGGCGACGCCGCTAACCTTCTGGCGGCCCATTACTCTCAAACATTTCAACCGGCTGACATCAACTTTATTGACGACAGTTTCATCTGCAATTCCACAGGACTTTCTGAAGTGGACCTAAGCGCTGACTTGGTGTTCCGGAAATTGCAGCACTTAAGACTTGACACTTCTCCTGGCCCGGATATGGTTCATCCTGCCATACTGAGGGAGGCAGCCTCAATCCTGGCAACGCCGCTTAGCGTGATGTTTTCACACTCGCTTAGCCGAGGCAAATTACCGGAAAATTGGAAGTTGGCTCACATCACACCAATTTTCAAAGGTGGTCGACGCAATGAACCTTCAAGTTACCGGCCGGTGGCTCTTCTGTCATTACCTTCAAAACTCATGGAGTCCCTGATATGCGACGGTTTAAATGACTATCTACTGTCCTTAAATTTCTTCTCACCCCAACAGCATGGTTTCAGGAAGGGTTACTCTTGTATAACCAACCTGCTGACTGCGGTGGACAGATGGACAAGCATCCTCGATCGCAAGGGAAAGGTTGATGTCATTTACCTTGATTTCTCAAAAGCTTTTGATAAGGTTAACCACTTGTGTCTTATCAACAAGCTCAAACGACTAGGTATCAAACCACCTCTAATCGATTGGCTTACTTCATACCTAAAAAATCGACACTTTAAGGTTAGGGTTAATTTCACTTTATCTCAGGCTATGGAATGTCCTAGTGGGGTCCCCCAGGGCTCAGTACTAGGGCCTCTTCTCTTCTTGATTTACATAAATGATCTTCCTCAACAGGTAACGTCAGACTTATTACTTTTTGCCGACGACGTGAAACTTTGGAGAGAGATACGCAACCAAGACGATATACAGGCTCTTCAAGAGGATCTGACTCGACTTCAAAGTTGGGCAGACGATAACGGACTTACCTTTAACACTTCAAAGTGTAAAGTAGTCCATCTGCGACATGTCGCAAACTACAGTTACAACTTAGGAAACTCCTCTCTAGTAGTATCCCAAGTCGAAAAAGATTTAGGAGTCCTGGTGCCCCATGACTTAAAGTCTTACGCTAACTGTGACAAAAATGCCTTCCGAGCAAACCTTGCACTGGTAACGTTGAGGCGCATTTTTGGTCAGTTTGACGGAAGAACTTTCCACACAATCTTCAATAGTTTCATCCGTCCCCATTTAGAGTACGGAAACATAGTACTCCCCCCTCACTCCAAAAGGACAAGGTCACTTTGGAGCGTATCCAACGGCGAGCCACGAAATCAGTTCGAGGACTCAAATCTAAGCCTTACGAAGAACGCCTCCGTTCACTAGACCTTTACCCACTAGAATATAGGCGTCTTAGAGGTGATTTATTAATGGCTTATAGTATTCTTAACACTTCTGGACATCCTCTTAAACACCTACTTAAGCTTAGTTCGAACAATAACCTAAGGGGTAACACCCAGAAACTGGAAACACAACATAGCAAGACGGAATGTAGACACAACTTCTACTCCTTAAGAGTTGTCAAAAGCTGGAATTCGCTGCCGGCCGAGCTAGTCCAAGCGACTTCTCAGGAGTCCTTCAAGAGGCAACTTGACCTATTCTTAAGGACCAAGGACAGCATCGCACTATGATTTACCAATTTCTTTTCCTCTTTTATTGTTAACATACCTAGGTTCCTGCCTGGAGGATTTGGTGATCCCCTGCTACTAGACACGGAAGCCTGTTAAGCGAAAGCTTCTTCTATTCCGTCCATAACCATTTGAACCATTTGGCATACGAACATGATTTCCAGTAATTGCGTTACGTTAGGTTTCGGTGACCTTGGCGCACTATGCCGTCGAAGGTTTTATTGTAAGTAACCTTGTTAACTTTCGAACCTTTTCTACTCGAAGTCTGTGAGACATTTCCGCAATTTCTAATGTGACATAGCTAATTTGATTGTCATGCTCAATATCAAAACATACTTCTTAGACAAAATATTACATTTTTCGGAGATCTGTGGTTAGATGGATAGTTTCGTGTTTAATTGTCGGAAGACAGCTTCCAATTTACGTTAATGAGAAGTAAAAATGTTATACAGTTTGAACTGCGTTTAAAGTTATCTTATAAAGCAATTGGTTTGTGGAATGTAGTGGTAACCCAGACAACCCAAAAAGCGGAAATAAAGGCGAAGAAAGGGGAAATAAAGGGGTTAATGCTTCGGTAGCGAAAGGGGAAATAAAGGGGAAAACGCATCAGAATTTCGCCTTTTTCGCCTGTCCGGGGGAAATAATGCGGATTTTCCCCTTTTTCGCCTTTTTGTCGACAAACTACCGAGTTATCGCCTAAATATCCGCTGAATTGCCGCATTTTCACCTAAATATCCGCTGAATTGCCGCATTTTCGCCTAAATATCCGCCGAATTGCCGCATTTTGTCTAAATATCCGCCGAATTGCCGCATTTTGCCTAAATATCCGCCGAATTGCCGCATTTTCGCCTAAATATCCGCCGAATTGCCGCATTTTCGCCTAAATATCCGCCGATTTGTCGCATTTTCGCCTAAATATCCGCCGAATTGCCGCATTTTCGCCTAAATATCCGCCGAATTGCCTACTTATGCGCTTAATTGTCTACTTTTAGCCTAAATACACACATTACCTTCTATTGTCTATCCATCGACAGAACCTTAAAGGTCTCCTATGTCCGCCTTTATTTGCAACAACATACCGAAGTATATCTGCAATGCAGTGGAAAAGCAGTAAATATTTTAAAAATTTTATTTAAAAAGAAAAGCGTATTATTGTACAACAGTAAAGCACAAGCTTAAGCATCGATTGTTATGCATATCCACTGCAATTGCTAATTCATTGTTATTTGTAATTATCTGAAAAACAAGGAACAGGTTATATTTTATTCATAGGGAATGTGCATTTAATCAAAAGTTCACTGAAACTCAGACACACATTCTCAACACTTCAACAGTTTCCCATGTAAGTAAAAGAGTAAGCTGTTTGAAAGAATAATGTTTATTGAAATCGAGGTAGAACAACAAAAATATTGCACGGACTATTCAGAATTGAGGTAGTCCTCCTGTGAATTCTGAAATAAAAAAACGAACAAAAAAAGTCACAACCATATCTCAATGACATGCTTTTGCACAGCTAAATACTTGAAGCTGAACTTACGGTTATGTTCGTTAGTATTGTTGACTGTAACTATAGAGCCGTAGGGAAGTTATCACTTTAAATTAGTACATACCGGATTTTCTTTTTTTCTATTTCGTTTAATCATCTTGTCTCGGATGTCGTGAAAGTAACCTTGTGTCGCTATGTCGTACAGCTTACCAAGGTCTTTCTCGTTGACAGAGGATGACAAAAAGCGATGAGTTAAGGCACCTGAAGTTTAAGTAATAGATATAGGTTACTTCGTATGCAGCTGTAAAACGTGCATTTCTGTAGTGCTCGTTTTGAAGAGGTGCCAAGTAACGTGAATTTACTGGCAACCTCCGGTGTCAGCAGATGCGACAGAACAAAACGCATGGACGTTTTTGGATCGTCACCTGATAACCTAGTGACCATTGCCATCTGTAATAGTAACAAATTATCGAATTCATGTAAATGACTTACAAATCTGTCCCTGGTTTCTTTCTGCGACAAACCAGTATCTAGCATCTGTAGTTCCTCTTCAGATGACAAAGGGAACTGCTGACTTGACAGTCCGCAATCGAATTGATGCGGTCTTTCGCGCTCATTAGACTTGGAAAGCAATTGGTTAACATTAACATTCAAGTCCATAATGGCGGACGACATGTTGTTAATCGTTTTAGTCAAGTCATTGATAGCTGACGACATCTTCAGCACCACAGTATACAACCTATCACAGGTGAAAAAGGTAACTAGATGATGTAGGTTACTTACTGGTCCAATACAGTGCCACCAACAGGCTTACATTGCGATGTGGATGGTGATATCTCTAATTGTGTTGAACTAAATAGTGAATATCTAAATAGTAATTAAACGTACTTGGCGATTGGCGATATCACTTTGTCGAAAACACGGAATTTTGGATATTGTACGCGGCTATTCCCAGCCTGCATTTCAGCCACATCCATGTCAACTGAATTGTAAAGAAAATCTTCTTTACGCTTCATTAAACCTCTAGGAAATGTAAGTAAGATTATTGTACAGACCTCTTTGGCTTCTCAGTGTTCAGTGGCAAAGTGTTTTCATCCGTAGAGGTGCTTAAGCATTCAATAACTGCCATTATTCTTTCAAGCTGCAGCTTAAAACTCGCAGGTAAGGGTACAAGTCAGTGTCAAATCCTTATTTAGTTTTTGCCTTTCGAAAATACATGTGCGCCACGTACCACCTATATATTGTGCTTTGAATTGTTATATTGACATAAATCTCATCACAACACTGAGTTTGGTAACATTTCAAAACAGGATTTCCATTTCTCTGTTAAAAATAAGTCGACTTTAGCGTAGAGCCAAGTTTTGCGTATCCTCATGCTTTTTCACGTGCGCAATTCCCCAGTGGTGAAAGCGCGATCGCAACAAGTACGTCACACTTAGTATGTTTATTAGTGATGTCTCGGAACCTTATGGAACTTTAAGAAAGGCTATTCTTAGGCGTGAAGATCCAACTGGCCGACAAGAGTTAGACCAACTATTCAACAGCGCCGATCTACAACATGACTCAGCAACAGACATGTTACTACGAATGCGAAAAGTCATTGGTCAAGGGATCTTCGACGAGGGTCTGTTTAAACGGCTTTTCATGTCTGTTTCCCCAACAAGTGCAGGTAGTGCTTGTCTTATTCCGGAACAACACTGCGAACAAACTGGCTGCATTTGTCGACCGGATTACAGAAATCACCAGAACCCATTATCGCCGAGGTTTATCCTGTCAAATAAAAGCTTCAAACAACGTCACAGATATGTCACATTCTGACTCGTTATCCTAACATCCATCGTAACCGTAGACGCTCCCAAACTAAAAAGAGTTTATCACGAAAAAGATCTGCCTGTAGATCATGAAAAGCAGATAATCCTGATTGGTGGTGGTACCACAATAAGTATGGTAAATCCTCTAGAAATTTGAGAAAACTAGTTTCTCAGGCGGCGAGACTCTAATTTAAGGACGACCTTTGAACGAATTTTAAGTGACCTTGACAATTATTAGCCAATCAGAAGACAGTTAGTATAAAGTGAGAATATATTGTAAGTAAGTAATGAATTACAGTGGATATTCTTCTTTTACATGATTTAAAAACTTGTTAAGGTTTGATAAAGGTTCAGAGGCTCTGAATTCATAATGCATATTGTATAGAAACTCGTCCATAGGGTTAGTGGTTAGGGTTGTAGCCTGTAAGTAGACACATCTCTAAAATCCGATGTAAACCGATCGCATGTTAGCACCCTAATCCTAACCTAACCCTAACCTTAACCTAACCCTAATCTAACCCTAACCTTAACCTAACCCTAAACCCTAATCTAACCCTAACCTTAACCTAACCCTAAGCCCTAATCTAACCCTAACCTTAACCTAACCCTCAATCCTAATCTAACCCTAACCCTAAACCCTAACCTTAACCTAACCCTTAACCCTAATTTTAACCCCAAACCCTAACCCTATGGACGAGTTTCTATACAATATGCATTATGAATTCAGAACTTCTGAGTCTTTATCAAACCTCAACAGGTTTTTAAATCATGTAAAAGAAGAATATCCACTGTAATTCATTACTTTCTTGTAATATATTTTTACTTTATACTGTCTTCTGATTGGCTAATAATTGAAATTGCTCAAACGCTTCTCATTGGCTCGTCCCTAAATTAGAGTCTCGCCTCTCAGGCTCCTAGCCAACCAACAACATTTCGGGAAGTTTCCACGGAAACACGCCTCAACGACAACCTTAGCCAGAAAACGTAGCCACCTATTGTACATCACTGATGTGATGATGAAAGTTCTCTACCTCGTCGACACTTGCGCAGAAGTTAGCTTTCTTCCAATCAGGTTAAACGACAGACTGCACGAAGCAGTTTTCGACTTACACAAGGCAAATGGGAAACCGGTCGCCACATACGGTAAGTGGAATCAGGTACTTATCACTACTGTTGAAACACTGTGTATATCATACCATGTTACAAATCTCGAGATATGATTGACATAAACAATTATTGGGCCATGTTATTATTATTATTATTTTAACACAGATGTTGGTACAAGAAGGCACCAAATACATATGAGCCACACAAATCTTATTCGATATGTGTGAGGGCTGTGATACTGCCCGGGTGCCCAAACCGAAGCAGGTGGCTTTCTTAGAGGGCCACTCCCCGAGCCTTTGACCTAAAGGTCTGATCCACAAGGGAGTGGAGCATCGTAAGGAGATGCAGTCCCATGTTAGCCGGTGACCAACGATTGATCCATACGCCATTTGTTCACTCAGGATACTGGAGCCCATGTGCACCATCAGTTTGGGATCCGGTTAAAGCGCCGGACATTCGCGTTTCGTCCTCTCATTTTTGTATTGGGCCATAAGTATTACTCCAATTATCTCTAGGATTATAGAAAAAACTGTTAGTGACGAACTCTCCAACTATTTACTCGCTAAAGATTTATCAATGATTCTCAACATGGATTTCTTAGAAATCGATCTTGTATGACATGCCACTTTGACTTCTTTAATTTAGTCTTTTCTCAACGTAACCAAGGATATCCAGTCTTAGTGCTATGCTTTGATGTTTCTAAGGCCTTTGATATGGTTAGCCACCAACTTATAGATAAACTCGCATCTTACAGGGTCCCAAACCCTCTATTTGCTTGGTTTGAGTCCTTACTCAGTGGATGCGTGACCGAGCGACTTAAGCTAGATGTGTCCATTGAAGTTAATCAGGTCAGCATCAAATGCAGAAGACTTACAAAACTATTCATTTTGGCGATTTATCTACCACTGCATATCTATTTTTTTATGCTCAACCACCACTTACCATAACACACGTATAGTGAAAGCCAGAGCGGCATATGCTAATTTGGGCCATCTTTGACGCCTTTGTGATGTTAGTCTGGTTGTAGAAGGTCGGATCTACAACGCGTCGGTGAGAGCAGTTCTGCTCTATGCTTATGAAACCTGGCCTCTCCGAGTTGAGGACGTTAGACGACTCTCTGTGTTCGATCATCGTTGTCTCTGAAGGATTGATGACATCCAGTGGCAACACCATGTTGGTAATGCAGAGGTTCGGCATCTTGTGTTCGGGCACAGAGACGACAATCCGATTGGTGTCACCATCTTGAAACACCGACTTCGGTGGCTTGGACATGTTCTACGAATGTCATCCCAGAGAATTCCACGTCGTGCATTATTTGCCGACTCTGGGGCTGGTTGGAAAAAGCGGAGAGGTGGTCAGTATATGACATGATGTCGTGGGACGAAAGAAAGCTGCAAAGGACTGGCTTGTGTTGGTCCTTCACGACTCCCTGGTTGGGGTCTGAGAGATGGTGCAACACAATGGCTAGAGACGATATCAGATATGGCTCAGAATAGAAGTCAGTGGCGATCCTGCTGTAACCTTCTTTTACTTTCTTCATAAAAAATGTGGTTGTGTCTCCCTTACCTGAAAGATTTCTTCTGATTGTACCTTTCCGTTCCCCCATTTTTACCATTATTATTATTACACCACCTTACATCAATCTCTTCGTTATTATTCTCTTTTTTTCCTTCCCCTTAAATTCTCATTGTTTTGTGTGGCGCATATATATTTGGCGCATTCTTGTACCAATATTTACGTGTTCAAATAAATAAATAAACTCAATGTTGTCTAGAGCAACAATATGTCGAAAGAGAGGGAAAGATGGGCAAACGAAAGCAGTCGGATTAATTCGTTAGTTTATCTGTTTGTCTGCGCTCAGTTGGTAGATTTTGACTTCTTTGTCGGGGTCAGCTTCATCATTATCAGTGTCTGAATACTTTCAGTGTAGGCTAAAAATCGGTCGTAGTTCCATAGATACATTCATTTTTTCTCTAACCTTGAATTCTTAGGTTCAATGTCACTTTATACTTTTTGCTTCATGGATTTATTCGCGTATCTTATTCTCTACGTCGCATCCTTTTTTACTATCACTGATTAGATTGATTCGACCACCTCCCTATGTTAACGTGGTGTGGCAACTCGAATCAGTGAACATTTATGCTAGATTCCCATCTTGCCTAAAACTGGCTGAATCCTGGTAAAAGAGTATGTCCACGACTTAGCGGAGAAGGACGGCTCTGACAAATAACACTTAATGTCACCATAAGCTCTAAACCGGTTATTGGTATTCGAGTAAATGGCTTCCAGATTAGTTTTGGTCGGTGGCGTAAAATCTGTCTCACCAGAAGTAATCTTTGTTCTCAAAGAAGTTGTACTCAGGATAGGTAAATTAGAATTGATTTCTAACAAGCATAAACAATGATTGATTAGTAATGCAAATAAATTTCAGGTCAATAGAAAATATATTCCTGTTGTTTGTAAGAGCTCACACTAGATAAACTATAACCCGGTTAAATGATTTGATATTTTGTGGTAAAAAAATATTGGTTACACGAGCTTTTTCATTCTATTATGTGACGAAGAAGTGCATTTCACAATTATTTGTATTTGTAAACTAGAGGCATCCCTACTAATTTTTAATCAGAATGCGCAGACTCAATTGAGAAAAACCTAAATTTACCAAGGTTCATTTTTTTAACAGGACACTATGTAATTATGTAGTATGGATGTTAAGGGCAAACGAAAGTAAATGGAGTCGTATCTTCTGCGAATATATGTTGATTCAGGCTGATCCACAGTTGTAATATATTGGTAGAAAGTTAAGAAAATAATTATAGAGATAAAAACAATCATATCGACAATGGTAAAAACACTCGAAGGAAACTTAAACGAGTTGTAATAGAATTGAAGCTGTGTATAACTATTAATTGTAATATATTTCACCTGTGTAATCTTCGCATGAACATTTCTGATATCTGTTCAATAATGAAATACTTTAACTTTTTATTCCAGATATCTATTATTCATTTTTTTTTATTTGAAATGCGTGTTTTGGAATTGTATGCAGGAATAGGAGGAATGCATATTGCTTTTAAAGGTATTCAAAATATCAACTAACGTTACTTTAAGGGTCTACTGTGAAACATGAAGTAGTTGCTGCCGTAGAGATAAATGATGTTGCAACTGATGTATATAAGTACAATTTCCCCAATACATTGACGTTAAATCGTGTTATCGAGGTAATCATTTATGTACAACGTTTTTAAGCCCTAGAGTTTTAGTCCAGATTATGTGTGCAGCTTAAATGCAAACATATGGAGTCTCTGTCCACCTTGTCAGCCATTCACAAGGTTAGGGAAACGCATGTGTGAAGCAGATAAGAGAAGCTCTTCGTTTTTTCATGTTCTTGATCTAATAAGCATGTAAGTTCAATCACTTCATTAATAAATTTTAGTCTGAAACCAACAGGAATTATACTTGAGAACGTAAAGGGATTTGAACATTCTGAACCATGGCGACAACTGATAGAAGTACTAAACAGTTGTGATTATGAATATCGAGTAAGAGTACCTAATTTTACTCTCATTTTCTTTGAAGCCGGATATTAAGTCATTAAATTTTATCAGTTAAGATTTAGATCTTTCATATATTATTAAACCATTTCTGTATAGTTATTTGTTTACGCTACGACATTCTGCGAAAAATAACCATACGGTATATTAAACGAAATGAACTGATTATCATTTGAACCTAACGGTAGACAAGTCCGCTTATATCAAACTGATGTCATTTTATCAGTCACCGAAGAAATATTTCACTTCGTTTTGTCGGATAAATATTATACACTGTAGATTGTTAGTGCTCGTTGTCAGAAACGGTAATGAAAGCTCCGCAAATTTAGCTTATTGAGGTAGTCTTTGTAATTATTGAATTCCATGCACGTTTAAGGGGACTTGACAGAACAGAAGTAACATCCGAGTCTCTCTGTAATACTTCCCATCAATTTAAGTTTCAAGTCTGTGTTATGTGCTTTTTCAAAAGTTACTGTATACCAGTCATTTGTAAATGTAGTCACGTTGATGGGAATTAGGCATCTTTGTGTGAAAAAGTAGAAATAATTACGGAAGTTTTGACGACAATCAACTAGAAAGCTGTATGACCTTGATGAAGCTAACATATTATTCAATCTGTCATGGTGACATGTAAACGGAAGCTGTTCGCGTTTTACCCCAGAGTAGAAAAGTCTCTGTATGTCCCAAAAGTGTAAATTGATGAATACACGACCTATCATTCCAGCTTAAAACGAGACCTAGGTAGATTAGATATGAAATTCTTGAGCAGTTATAAGAACTGCTGATTTATGGGATTCAAAAAGGTTGAGAATTAATTGGTTTTGAGTCATATCATCTGTTAAAATATGTAAACATATGTGATGAGAATGATTGTTAATTACCAGGACCATAATCTAAGGAATAAGTTGACGACCATTCAACATTGTATACTTGAGAATGGTTTATAGCGCTTTTATGCAGAGGTTTATTTAACTCTTCTTAGACGACATTTACTTATATCCCACTATCACTTGTAACCTAAGTTTTCTTCTGTAACCGCAAACCATCCATGTTTACTAACTTGAATGTAACTTTGTTTTCGGAAAAATCAAGATTGTTTAGCAAGTGCGTCAACATTATGAGAACCTTACAAACCGTTACATGAAATCATTTTGACTTGTAACGTTCTTTAGGAATGAAGATTAATTCTCCTAGGTTATCTGATTAACTTGATGTCCACAAGTAATATTCTTGCGAAACGGAGTCTTTTACTAGTGTTATTGAAGACTTGTTTAAAAAAATTAATTCACCAAACCGTAAATATTTAGTAATTACTATTAGTGTTGCAAGAGTTACTGAAGCTTAATAACCGTTACCAATAGAACTATGAGTAGATAAATATCTATGATGTTTGTGTTATCATTTACATACAACTAAGTGTTTGATTTTAACAATAAACCAATGGTAGATTTCATTAGAAAGATTTTTTAGCCTAATTTGATTAAATTTAAATTTCATTCGCATCTTAATAAAGTGAATGTGTTACATATACAAATATAACTACTGAATGTATTTCTCGATCACTAACGTACTACGTTTTATATTTATATATCTAATTAATTTGGTTTATATTTTAGCAATTTTTACTTTCTCCTCTGCAATTTGGCATACCTAACTGTCGCCTTCGTTTCTATCTTCTTGCTCGTTTGCGTTCATCATCTTGGAATTCAAATTTTAAGATGGGACAATCCGAGTCGATTGATATGCGACCACCGGTCGATGCACCCATGTTACCTGGCTGTCAATGTACTTCATGCAGTGGTGTTATCAGGTGAATATTTTTGAGTTTCAATAATTAGTGTAGAATTCCATATTCTTTTATGTTTAGGAAGCACATTTCATCTGAAAACAATGATGCGATTGAAAAACAATATAATTTCCTGAAATACTCAAGAGCTCTTCTACCCTAGTTAATAGCTCATCGACAATCCTTATATTTAACTTCTGAAATATATGTCCACTGTCTATTTTTTATGTATTTATACTTTCTACTATGTTCCAATCCAGCTACTATATTATTAGTCATTAACTATGACAGATTTACCTGATAGACTTAATTTTCAGTTCAATGAACTTAAGTGACCACAGATTGTTCCGGTTCACTATTTCAAAAAAGCAGCTTGTTCAATATTTCTATTCATTTGAATCCATTTAATCTATCCTACAGTTTTCCACTCTTCTACTTATATGAATCAATTACGATGATGGACAATTCTTTGAGTGCTTGGTTTTTATATTGAAAAAACAGGTTCCTCATGTAGTTTTGTTGCAGATAATCAAATATAGTGCAGGTGCTCCTTAAAGTAATATGTACCTGATATCTTCCGTTTTTATGAATCTATATTTTATTGGCATAAAATGGAAATAGGTTTATTGTCTACACAAAGATCCTGTTTAATAGATACCAATAATATTTCATAAGTAAAAAATGAAGCGTTTAAATTGCTGTAGGCCAGTATTTTTTTCACTAAAGAATAACTGGTGAGACTATAATTTATGGATGACCTTTGAGCGGAATGTTCACCTACTTACTACGGCCAAATGAGGGTTATAAAGCAATATGATGAGATTATGATTTACAGTTAATGGTTAGGGTTAAGAATTAGGTTTATGGTTTTCATCTCAAACTGACATCAGCTAAAATGCCAGGACGCTATTTAGACAATTGAGTAAATAAATTTCGAGCCAAAATCCGAGACCTGTCATCCTAAATCTGATTGGTTCGTACATAAGTTATAGTCTCGCTTAATAACTATTTCACGTGGCTCTAAAAACTCAGTAAGTGACTTTATTATAAAATAATCCAGAACTGCTAATAATATTCGACCTTCAAAAATCTACGTTTTTCTTTGCAAAACGTGTATATCCGTGTATATATTTTTCTTATATAAGCCACATAGAACATACAGATGACAATTTCACTGAATATATCCAGTTCTGTCAACCAATATCGGAGTTTGTATTGGTACCAAGTGATAGTCCTAAAGAGGTAAGATTATATGAGTTAACTTGCCTACTTTAACAAGTTATACTTTCTAGATGAGAAGTGCCTTCAACGTTATTTCCGTGTACTTGATATCGTCAGGTCTTGTGATAAGAAAACAAGATGTTTTACAAAAGGTTATTCAAAACGGTTGGAAGGTACAGGATCTGTATTTCAAACATCTATGGAAAATGAAGTAAGTTTCTTCTGTTAGTAAGAAGAAAAGGTCTATTTTGTTATTAAGTTATGATAAGGTAGGTGTATGCCTCTTTTCTTAAATGTGAAGAATGGTATTTTTGTTTAAAAAAATTCTCCACTACGTATAGCATTCTTTTAGAAACTGGTTTAAAAAGCATATTTACTCAACCATCGAAAAATTAACTTCGGATTATTTTGACGATGGTCTGTTCACCAATAGAATCTTTTGTTTGGGAAAATTCGTATGATGAGCCATGGTAATCGTCTTAAGTGGTTTCGGTTTTATTAATACTTATGATTAAAATACTAATCTGACTGAAGATTAAATAACAAGTGTAGCAGATCAATACGAATTCAGTTATCTTGTGGATTTTCCTTAACCGTTTACAATATTGAAACACTGATATTAATCACCAAAGGAGCAACAAATACTCATAATCTATGTCAATATGGTCTTGAGTAACATTGAGTTTGACATGTAGACATACAATTATGGAAATATATTTGCCGAGAAATTAGAAAGTTTGTTTAGTTATCGACGAAATGTATAGATATTCTAGAAAAGGAAATTATAAAGAACATGACAACAGAGTCGGTTGAAATTGGAGATTTGTGTCAGAGATAATGCAATATTAAAAAAATAGATTAGTGCTAAGGCAGTCGCAAGAATAGTCAAATTTTATTAGAAGAGCTAAGATCTCTCCCGGAACAATAACGGATCGTATACTTTTTACCGATTCGATTTTCCACATGACCTTTGCCCTCTGCTAGATTGCTACATGCTCAAAGATCATGTTCTGCTACTATAGTAAAAACTTTTGTACCAATTTCGTTTGGGTTGCTTGTGCTACTACAGATATCAGGTTATCTGCAATTCCGTCTTCTTCCTGTCTTAGCCATCGAGGTTTAATGTGTTGAGCATAATTGACTATTGTCAGCTCTGAAGAGAACCGATCATATTAAGTAAGCTCAATCGTTTTCGTTCTTTAATCCGTAACATCGTAGACCGTACTGAACCCCAGTAATAAGACACAACAGTTAGCTGAGTAAATTGAGAAACAAGAGTTAAGAAATTAGGAATGATGATTAAGGTCATGATAGATGTTCAATTTATCAGTTGAGAAAACTGTATACAAATATCAATCATTTTAATTAGTACAGAGGTAACTAATAGAATTAGAATAACCCGTTTACTTTAACTATCTGGTATGTATCTGGTGTTTTGTGAATTTTAAACATGTACAGACCTATTTTATAAGTTCAGTGCGCCTACATAATCATTATAAGATGAATTCAGTATTAAGCATTATTATCCACAGTAATTTTCATTCCACACTTATTCTCCTTTGACTCATATGTATATTTTTAATTTCTGGAGTTTAATGCTTTTTCAATCTTTCCAGGTCGAGAAATAGATATGCTAAATTTAGTTGTTTATCTGGCTTTAGATATGCGTAAACTATCGTTTAAATCCCACTGACTGCAGCTCAGATGAAGTGAAAGATGAATTTTACAGAAAGCTATCCGAACTTCTTCAGAAAGCTAAACGCTCAGACATAGTACTCGTAGCAGGTGATTTTAATGCTCAGATAGGCAGTTTAAACCAAACAGAAAGGCATTTAGGTGGATATTTTAGTATTCCGACACAGCGAACAGATAATGGTGATCGTCTGCTGCAGCTATGCTCAGACAATCGTTTATTTTTAGCAAACACAAATTTTAAGCATAAGGAGAGACATCGTCTAACATGGCGACCCCCTACACCAAACCAACGATGGACTCAAATAGACCATATTGCCATCAGTCATCGTTGGAGAGGGTCGGTAGAAGATTGTCGTTCATTCTGGAGCACCTGCTTGGACTCCGACCATGCCCTAATACGGGCACGCATCTGCTTGCGCCTCACTGGACGCAAAAAAGCCACATTAAAAAGACCCATTAGAACTGAGTTGAGTAACGAGAAAACCAAAAGTAGGTTCCAGGAACAACTGAGGTCACACTTAGGTAGTTGTGAAGACGAGGCTGACCCAGATGTTGCTTGGAAGGGCATACAAGCAGCTGTGGAAACAGCAGTGACATCTGTTAGTGACTTAAACCACAGAGTTACAAGGAACCAGTGGATTTCTTCAAGGTCTGTCACACTGATGGATTCTCGCAAACTCGTCCCATCAGGTTCTGAACATGATGAAGAGCGTAAACAAATCAGATCTAGGTTAAGAAAAAGTCTAAGGAACGACCGTGAGCAGTGGTGGGTAACGAAAGCAAAAGAGATGGAAAAGGCGGCGACTATAGGGAACACAAGACAGCTTTACAGACTAATAAAAGAAACTGGAATTAATAAGTCAAGTGTAAGTGAGATTATTTCGGAAAAAGATGATACTCTCATCTGCTCCCAGTCCAGACGTTTAGAACGATGGGCGGAACATTTTAGAGAACAGTTCAGCTGGCCTTCAGCTACTCTACAACTACCCTCCATTCCCAGACAAAGTGAATGGAACATTGAAGTAGGTCCCCCAACTCTTGCTGAAGTTGAGAAGGCTATAGTTAATCTGAAACGAGGAAGGGCAGCTGGTCCAGATGGACTGGCTCCAGAAGTCTTTAAGGATGGTGGTCCAATTTTAGCGACTAGGTTGACTAATATTTTGGCTAAAATCTGGGAGTTAGACGTTATCCCATCTGACTGGTCGCAATCACTTATCGTCCCAATATATAAGAAAGGGTCAAAATCATCCTGTGACAACCACAGAGGGATTAGTTTAACAAACATAGTATCTAAAATACTGGCCTCGATAATTATCAAACGCCTAACTAAGACTCGTGAACTACAAACACGAGAGAACCAAGCTGGCTTTAGACCTGGTCGTGGCTGCATCGACCACATATTCACCATTCGTCAGGTTCTAGAACACAGGCATACCTATCGGCGTCCGACGATGGTGGTCTTTCTTGACTTAAAAGCAGCATTTGACTCTGTAGACCGCGAGACTCTGTGGCAGTGTCTGTCATTGAAAGGCGTACCTCAGAAGTACATAAACCTTGTGAAGGCTCTTTACTCGAACACTACTAGTCGAGTCAGGGCTTATGGCGAACTGTCATCTACTTTTACAACCTCAAGTGGTGTCCGTCAAGGCTGCCCACTTTCTCCATTTTTGTTTAACTTCATCATAGACCTATTGATGGAAATAACACTCTCGTCGACTGAATTCTCGGGTATTGATCTCCTTCCAGGAGGTCCACTTATCGACTTAGAATATGCAGATGACATAGTCCTGTTTGGTGAAGACGCTGACAAAATGCAGAGTCTTCTGGTAGCACTAAGCAACAATGCCAGAATGTTTGGGATGCGCTTCTCTCCCTCTAAATGCAAGTTGTTGCTTCAGGACTGGTCTGCGTCAACACCTGAACTAAGGATAGGGAGTGAAGTAGTCGAACGAGTTGACAACTTCACTTATCTTGGAAGTCTGATCAGCCCTAATGGGTTGGTGTCTGACGAAATCTCAGCACGGATTCGTAAAGCTCGTTTGGCTTTTGCCAACTTACGTCACCTTTGGCGGAGGCGAGATATCCGTCTATCAATAAAAGGACGAGTATACTGCGCGGCTGTCCGTTCTGTTTTAATTTACGGCAGCGAAACATGGCCCTTAAGAGTAGAAGACACCCGTAAGCTACTAGTATTTGACCACAGATGCCTTAGAAATATTGCTGGCATCTGCTGGGATCACCGGGTAAGTAATAGTGAGGTTAGACGCAGGGTATTAGGGAATGATGGTAAATCAGTTGATGAGGTTATGAATCTTCATCGACTGAGATGGTTGGGCCACGTATTACGTATGCCTGAACACCGATTACCGCGACGTGCAATGCTAACCGGTGTAGGGGATGGTTGGAAGAAAGTTAGGGGCGGCCAAACCAAAACGTGGCATCAGTGCCTGAAGTCACTAACTTCTAGTCTGAGCCATGTTGGTAGATGCAGACTACTTGGTTGGGGTCCGCGTGACTTTCGTAACCAATGGTTGGAGACCCTTGGTGACATGGCTCAGAATCGATCACAATGGCGTCGGTGTATACACTCTCTGTCTTCTCTTAAACTAAGAGATTAAGATCACTTCACATCTTTCTTTCTACGAACTAATTCTTTCTTCCTATACTATATCCTTATTGCAATCTTTCTCCTATATATTACCACCTTTGACCTAACCACTCCTATGAATCCGGTGTTCATCTTGCTGTGCTAATGAGGTATGGCAACCTGGGCCGATGCATACATGTGCCTGGTCCTACGTTGTAGCTGACTGACTGACTGTTTAAATCACAAGCAGCTTGTTGATAAATTTAGTCTTGAAATATTTTAAAGTATGCTTGTAAGGTAAAAATTTATATTGTTTGTTAGACTGTTAAAGGCAGTGTGTATATATTGAGAAATCTCTCCATATTTCACTCTCTATGAAATGAACAAGGATACTGTTGTGGACATTTGCTCATCAATAAAGAGGTTGTTTGCGAATATATAACTTCGTTCACTTCATGAGTATTGTTAAAATCTCTAAAGATATGGTTGAAAATCTTATAAATAAACGTTACACATAATTACTAAGTTGGTCGGTACATTAGAACCGCATAAGAAGTTTACGGACATGTCATTATTTTGCTATTTGTTAATCGCACATGAGATTATCTACTCGCTACATTATTGGTCTCGTTATAACGTGTCATAAATTCATATCGATTATTATCTTCAACAAAAATCTGATTTCTAGTATTATTTTTCGATACAACTCCAGTCTTGAGTAGTTCATATGTCCTCCTTATAACAACTACCGAAGAATCTAGATTTGTTTGTGTTACAAGGATATGGATTGGACTAAAGCACGTTCAGTTCAGGACTGTGTTGGAGCACGCCGATTGGCCATTTATTGCCCAAATCAACACTAGCGGATATTGGAGACCCTAGATTCTTCTTGTTTAATAGTGTAAATATACTAACGTTTTTCTTACTGTAATTGTTATTCCCAATCAATTTAGTTTATTTGGAATGTAATTTCGTTCTTATTCTACCGTGTTTTGATTCAGAGACCAGTCGAGTGAAGTAGTGTCCTAAAAATAGTAGGCAATAAGAGTAGCAGAATCGCTTAAAGAGAGGTCTTAATAGTTTGTTTCCCTTTAATGATAAATTTAAAGTATTCAATAATTTCCTTTCATAGTTTGTATATGTTAAGTTTGTTTTACATTGTTCCTGCTCATTCCTTTCCTACTCTTTTGTATGTTGGTTTATACTACTTATTTATATTCAGTAAGCAGTTGTATGCCCAACAATTTTCACAATCATGTTGTAACTCGGGTTGTACTGTAACATTTTGAAATGTTCACATATATCTTTAACGTTTATTTTACTTATCATTGTATTTATCATTATAATCACTGTAATTTAATTACTGTAACGGTTGTCCACAGTTTTATGCATTTGTTTAAACGCAACAGTTTCCATATTGTTTGCTCTTGGTTCGAGTTTCGGTTGTTCATAAACTGTTATCAAATTTAGACACAGCTATCGGCTGTCTTTGGACTATCGAAGCCTTTGCTATTTTCATTCTTGAACGACGCGTTTAAACGCCTAGACACCTCACAAGTTGAGGTTTGTAACTAAATTTTGTGTATTATTTAATAAAGAACCGCTTTTGTAGACAAATCGTTGTTTTGGAGCTTCGGTTTTGCGCGTATCTCAATCGGGGTTACTCGGACGCTTCGATAGAATTAACAGTATACATGCAACATAGTGCTTCGGGTTATTCTGTCGTTAATATTAGAGACTGGATTTTGGTCAGTTTTGGTTACTGTATGTACATCCTGTGCTGGCTGCCATTATGTTACAAGTTTTTTTAAATAAAATAAGTGCTATGTGGCAAGCAGTGGAATCCAGGAAGTGCGTCTCGTCCTGTTTATGACTTTAGCTGCGTTTACCTTCACCTCAAAGTTGATATTCATTCCGGGATTGAAAACCAGCGCGTTGCATAATTGAATGGCTATCTAGATTCACTAGTTAGGTGGATAATCCCCTGAGTATTTAAAGCGAAAAATACTGGGTTTCAGTCTCGGAGTGAACATAAACTCTCAGATGAGGCTGCACTAAGCTGACGAGTTCCAAACAGGACAAAAAGCGATTCTCGAATTCCACTGTTAGTCATTGTGCGTCTATTCCGTAATAACTGGTTTCTGTTTGTACTAATTGGTGACTCTCTTCTCTTTCTGACTTATAAAGACAAGTGAAAAAATAGCCAACTTCTATGAGGCCAATAAAGAAGATGAACAAGCTGTGTTACAGTATGCCAAACTATTGAAACTACGTTTTTTCCATTCTCGTGAAGTAGCCAATATGATGTGTTTCCCAAAAAGTTTTGGTAAGTTGTAATTAAAATATATTGTATTGAAAAGTTTAGGAACTCGATCACAAATATGTTTTTTTTGTTAAAGTCTATTACATTTTCAACTTTTGATATCTGTCGGTCGATTTAAATCATCGTCTAAACACAATATATCATTCAACAAAAAAATTCACTGCAAATATTGTTTGCAGTTTACTCAACTTTAAATCATAATTTTATATGAAGAATAATGTTACTAAGAAAGGAAAAGTATAAGAATTCAACAAAATCAGTTATCAATTACGATATTCCGAGATTATTAATTAGCATTCCTACATTCTTAATTCAAATATTCTGTTCTGAATTTCTCATTATCCAAACAGTAAAGCATTTAAGGCTTATTTATTCTCTTACTTGATGGATTTGTTTGGTTTTATACACACAGAACTCAATGATAGTCCCTCCATCCAGCTTATGGATATGCTGTACAAGTTGATGTTAATTGATAGATATATTTTAAATAATTGTTAGTTTTCAGTTGTTCTAGATTTCTTCCAAACATGATATTTGGTAGTTCACTTTCTTCGCGTTTACTTCATACACATGTCTTAGTTGCGAAATCTAGTTTATTATTATTATCATGATTATATAGAAAGACTTCGTAGATTGCGACACTGATGATAACAGTTTTGTAAAGAAATCGGAAAGAACAGAAATCATGTAGTAGCATCACTGAAAATGGTAAGTAATGCAATATAAATTCGTTGGATATTTTATACGAACATTCGTCAAGATTAGAGCGAATAGTTTGAAAGAAATTGGGCGCGGAGTATAGAGAAGTCACTATATGTGAAGATTATATTTGAAATAATCTCAACAATTGAAATTTAAATAATTCCAACGTTTCGTCCAGTTAACTTGTCTGGACTTCTTCAGGGTAATAATCAAAATCATCAAAGAAATATATAGCTTTTAACGATCATAACTATACTGTGTTACACCAATCGAATTTGGATGTTGATTTTCGTAAAATAGGAAAAATGAGTCAGTTAGCTACAAATCTTGTGAAAAATTCAACTACATGGGATCGTGGATGAGCACTGCTGAGGAGTCCCATACTACGACGAAACGGCCGTCAAGCGCTTCCAGGTTTTCCATGGTGGTCTAGCTTCAATTGACTCATGATTTCAATCAGTGAAATTTCTAAAATATCCAAAAAGCCCCTTCTGAAAATACATAATTGTATTGCTAAAAACTCATTGAATTCAGTCAAAAATAACTATGCATGTGAAACAAACAGGTTGAATAAAGGGAAAATTGAAATTACTTGTCATACGAAAATTTGTCAGGTAGTCTCTAGTTGAATATCATCCTTTCAGTTCAGGCTGTTCTTGTTCCCCCATATATGCAGCACTTCTGCTGTCAATCTTTCTTTATGAGTGTTAAAACCTTTCTGAAGTATTTTAGTTTCTTCAAAATTAATCCTGTGTCCTGTTTCTAACACATTTAACGCTATTGCAGACTTATTCTCTAGTTTCTTCAAATCACCCGAGGATTTGGGAACATTTTTCAAACATTGTTTGTGTTCTTTCAACCTTACATTCAATTGTCTGGATGTTTCTCCAACATAGGCTGCATTACAATCATGACAGTTGATCTCATACACAATATTCTGTTGTTCTTCGTTTGGTAACCTGTCCTTAACTTCCACTAATGTCGATCTTAAGGTGTTACTCGCCCTAAAATGCACTCTTATATCATGTTTGTTTAGAATCCTCTTGATTTCTTCTGATGTTCCACTACAGTATGGGATGACTACGGTGTACTTCCACACTTTTCGTATACATTCTAGTTTAGTTTTTCTTTTATTTTTAATCATCTTTAAAAATACTGTAATGTAAAAAATTTAATGAACAGAAGTACTAAGCTTGTTACAGATAAGGAAGACCAACGAACTGAACTGAATAAAGTGTTTTCTACTCTTGAGGATAAAAAATACACAAAAGTTTTTAAAGAAGATTGTTATATACGAAAAGTTTGGAAGTACACCGTAGTCATCCCATACCGGAAAGAAGGACACCTCGTCAAGATTCCAAAGAAAGGAAATCTGAGCAAATGTGAAAACTACAGAGGCATTACACTACTGTCAATACCAGGGAAAGTCTTCAACAGAGTGTTGCTGAACCGGATGAAGGATGCAGTAGACGCCCAACTTCGAGATCAACAAGCTGGATTCCGTAAGGATCGGTCGTGCACAGACCAAATTGCAACACTACGGATCATCATCGAACAATCAGTTGAGTGGAACTCATCACTATAAATCAACTTCATTGATTATGAAAAGGCATTCGACAGTGTAGATAGGAGGACATTATGGAAACTTCTTCGACACTACGGAGTTCCTGAGAAGATTGTCAATATTATCCGGAACTCATACGACGGACTACAGTGCAAAGTAGTGCATGGAGGACAGCTGACAGATGCATTCCAAGTAAGGACCGGAGTCAGACAAGGCTGTTTACTCTCTCCCTTCCTCTTTCTTCTGGTGGTCGACTGGATTATGAAGACCTCGACATCTGAGGGAAAACACGGAATACAATGCACAGCTCAGAATCAATTAGACGATTTGGACTTCGCAGATGACCTAGCCCTCCTATCACGTACACACGAACAGATGCAGATGAAGACAGCCAGTGTAGCAGCAGTCTCTGCATCAGTAGGCCTCAGCATACACAAAGGGAAAACCAAGGTCCTCAAATTCAACAACAATCCAATCACTCTGGAAGATGTAGAGTCCTTCACATACCTAGGAAGCATCATCGATGAACAAGGAGGTTCAGATGCAGACGTAAAGGCGAGGATCGGCAAAGCAAGGGTCGCATTCCTACAATTGAAGAACATATGGAACTCAAAACAACTTTCAACCAATATCAAAGTCACAATCTTCAATACGAACGTCAAGGCAGTTCTACTGTATGGAGCTGGAACTTGGAGAACTACAACAACCACAATCAAGAAAGTACAAGTATTTATAAATAGCTGTCTACGCAAGATACTCAACATCCATTGGCCGGATACCATCAGCAATAGCCTTCTGTGGGAGAGAACAAACCAACTTCCAGCTGAAGAAGAAATTAGGAAAAGACGATGGAAATGGATAGGACATACATTACGCAAATCGTCAAACTGCATCACGAGGCAAGGCCTAACTTGGAGTCCTGAGGGGAAGCGAAAAAGAGGAAGGCCAAAGAACACATTGTGTCGGATAATAGAAGCAGATATGAAAAGGATGAATTACAACTGGACGGAGCTAGAAAGGATTGCCCAGGACAGGGTTGGATGGAGAATGCTGGTGAGTGGCCTATGCTCCTTCACGAGGAGTAACGCGTAAGTAAGTAAGTACATGGTCAGTCGATGAATCAACATATTTTAAAGTTTGTAAAGGCATCATTTACATTTAGCTAAAATAAATTAAACCAATGGTTAATTATAATTGATTGTCTTGTGTAATGGACTGACCATTCATTGTTGTTTAGAACTAGTAATATGTGTGCTGTCATTACGTTAGTCCATCCTGTATTTTGTCCGTGTTATAACTGCTCAATTGAAAGGTAAAATTACCAAAGGTATTTATTACAACACGGTCTCAGAATCAATATATCATCGTTGTGCTTTAAATCAGATCTCACTTTCAGCTTGATTCACAAAAATGTCGACAATTACCAAATTACACTAACTAATCACATTTGTTTGCTTATTTGCATTCATGGAACACTTATTGCCCTTTGATTTTAATAGACACCTCAAATTGAGTACTATTGTCCTTATTGATACACTTCCATGGAAATATTTTTACGGGCTATTTCTACCTCCTTGCTATTTTCTTTTGTCAGTATTTTATTTTAATCTATGTTTAAATGAAACTTATTCTGTTGGTGAAACTTCCGTAGTGTGTCATTCTCAAGAAATACGGCCGATAACATTTACTTCTTTTGTAGCGCTAGTACCATATCACGTGGGGCCCACCACTTTATAAGTCCGCTTAACCTCGTACTTATTTATTAACTTGATGCGCGCTAGTGAATAAGGGAAGAGAATAAGACAAATAGGAGGATGGGTTTCGGATATGTATATTTCATACATCCGTTAACGTAAACAGAATAATAGAAAAGAAGCTGGTCGGACAAGCCAAATGTGCCAGCTCAATTTAATAAAGCACAACTCAATACTTACAATCAGATAGAAAAACAAGAAAAATAAACATAAGTAAACCTGTTTGCGGGTTTCTTTTAAATTAGCCTAATGAGTAGCCTTCCGCTACTTCTCTAAGTAATGTCCGATATTTAAATAGCTTTAGGTCTAAAAGACAGATGTATTGATAAATCATATGTATTCAATTGTTCATTAACTAGTCATTTCAGTAATTGTTAATGAAGTTTCTCTAAAAACTTGAATATTTGTCTAACAGATTTTCCAGAACACATAACGGAGAAGCAACGTCTTCGTTTGTTGGGTAACAGTGTGAATATACTTGTTGTCAGTCACTTAATTTACTGGGTTTTTGGGACGTAATGAGAACAATTTACTCCTTATGAATTTTATACTATGTAAATAAACATACTATTTTTAATAAAGCAAACGAATATATTCTGTAAACTAAACATTATTTCTCGCGTAAAACCAGAACGTACACCATTTGAGAATGTATACTCACCAAAACTGGGAGACTAGTAGAACGTCTACCTTGTCAAACATATTTTCCAACGTTTATCCTAAGTTAACCTTATTTACTTTCTGGACGATTGATTTCGTCCGAGACGACATACGTATTTATTGACGATTATTAATCTGACTGTCACATAATATCGTAATCCTCTGTCAATAGCAACCTCAGTCTCCTCCTATTCAGAATTAAAAGTGAGACCCCTAACCCCGTTCTGAAATACAAAATTTTCAGATGATTCTAGGCTGATTATTTGTCAGCCATTTTGGCTGCTATAGGCTGTCTACAATACAATGGATAAGTAGTTCGGTCTTTTATCACTGCTGCCCGATTTTACATTTAAAGCATAATAAACTACTGTGTTGATTTGTCTGAATGATATTCTTTTGTTTAGAGACTTTGCAGCTTCAAACTAGTGTTTTAGTTTATGTAATCAGTGGAAAATAGTATATTCTCTTGAGAAATATCCATACTGGTGTTGCTACCATTTTGGGTAAATCAGTCGATAAGATAGTGGTAGTGAGCTTAGAATCACTGGAATATCACACAACGCAATGTAATTTTTCTGTGATATTAGACTATAGAGGACAAATTGTTTAACTAGCTTTGGTCTCACAGACCTCCGTATCGTAACCAAGGTCTTCAGGTCATAAATATATATATTCTATGTATTCTGTGTTGAAAAACAGGAAGTAAGTCCTACCAAATTATGGCCATTGAGTCGTATGACTTTCACCTTTAGATTTAAAAATTGGTTAGCTCGACACTTCTAATCAACATAGTTGTGTTACGAATGTACCTCCCACGAATGATCATTGACTAGTGGGTCGCAATTATATTTTAACCATTCCAGGCATAATCAGTTGTTTCGTATCTATCAGCTTTATGGTTACTTGTCAAACAGCACATGATTTACTAGGCTTTTTAAGAACATTAACGGAAGTCAATTGTATTGTTTGTCGTGCATCAGTTAGATGTTAAGTTCCATTATATTTCAAATTAACCAGGTAAACGAAGTTCAACCTATTTGCGACGGGTAAAGAATGGTTTTCCCTGAAGCTAATTGATTATAGAGAGCATGCGTTGCTACGCCACTCAGACTTGGAAATCTATATACATTGTATTATCGAGTGTTTTCATTATTTAATTTAGGTGCAGTATATGTGTACTAAGCGTATTTTCTGGTTACGCTTATTCTTCCATATCCGACTCTCAC